TCATCATCATCATCATCATCATCATCATCATCATCATCGTCGTCGTCGTCGTCGTCATCATCATCATCATCATCATCATCATCATCAATCATCATCATCATCATCATCATCATCATCATCATCATCATCATCCGCCTTCTCCACCTCCCCTCCCCCCCCCCTTCTCCCTTCTCCTCCTTCCCCGCCCCTCCCTCCCCTCCCTCCTTCCCCCCCCCCTCCCTCCCCTCCTCCCTCCCATCCCTCCCTCCCTCCTCCTCCCTTCCTCCATCCCTTCCTCCTCCTCTCCCTCCTGCCCGCCCGCCCGCCCGCCCTCCCTCCCTCCCGCCCGCCAGCGCGGCAGCCCTCCCTCCCTCGTTATATCCCTGCGTTTCTGCGTTTCTCGCTCCGAGCAGCGTCTCCCGTGCGCCTGGAGCGCGGAGCGCGCCACAGCAGCCCACGAGGGCCGCGCGGGCACTCAGGCGGCGGCCCCGAGAACCCGACCTCGAGGAAAGAAAGAGGACCAGGGACCAGTAAATACCTCGGAGGAGGGGGGAGAGGCCGGGTTTTGAAAAGAAAGCCCGACAGGGCCTTTGGGCGGGCGCCGCGCGCGCCCGCGCCCGCGGGCGTCAGGCAGCGCCCGCGGCGCGGCGCTCGGCCTGGCCTGCGGCCTCTTCGTGGGCCGGGGCCAGGCTGGCCGCTCGGCTGCGGCTGGGCCCCCTTCGGCGCGGGGCGCTAAACCCAGCCGCTGTGGAGCACGGATGCCCCCTCTTCGGCTGGGCCTGGGCGTGTGGTCCTTGCTCCCAGGTCCAGAGAGGCGTGGGGGAGTGGCTCTCCTGTCCATCTTCCCCTAGCCCCCTTCGGGGCTCGAGGTATGTGGCCCCTGCTCCTGGCCACCTCTCCCTCGAGCCCGCTTCGGCGTGGCTGGCCTCTCACCGACGCCTGGGCTCCCTTCGGCGCCTCGCGCTGCGCCCCGGGTCGGGGCAGGCTGCCCCTTGGCTTTGGAACAGAGTGTGTGGTCCTTGGGCCTGGCCATTTTTCGTCCGTCCTCTGCCATCGTCGGTCACTAAGTGTGCGGCCCCTGCTCCTGACCACCTTTCTCTTGAGTTCCCTGCTTCGTTAAGTTCATCTTCGCGCGACCCGGTGTGTGACCCCTGCTCCTGGTCACCTTTCCCCAGGTCCTCGCGCGACCCTGGCGTTGTGGACCCTGCCCCTGTCCTTCTTTCTAGCTGTGTTTGCGTGGGGTTCGAGGTGTGCGGTCCCTACTCCTGACCACCTTTCCCTGGGGCTCCCATGTGTCTTGTCCTTTTTGCGTCTTATCGTCCTGCGTGATATCCAACTCCCTGCGCTGCTCTGCGTGGCCAGGTTGCTACAGTCGCGCGGCTGTGGTGGCTCCACCTTTCTCGCACTCTGTCGTCGGTGTTTGTGGTGGCAATTTGGAGTGTGTGGCTGCATGGGTGGGGCTCGCACATGGTGGCCTCCGTGCACCGACTTCAAGCGGGGGTCTTGGATGTCCCACCTCGTCCCGCTATAGCTAGGGGTCACTGTGCCCTCGGTGGGGGCGAACCCCAGGCCTGGTGCTCTTGTGGTCGTGGTGGGGTTGACCACGCTTGCTCTCTGCTCCGCCATGTCGGCGCACGGGTGAGCTCCTCCGCCGCCGTGGGGATGGTGGGGGTGGCGAGCTAGGGCGGACCGCGGGGGCGCGATCAGTGGCCGTCCTACTCCCTCCCCACCCTCTGCCCCTCACCATCCCCCCTGATGGGCGCGGGCAGCACTCGCCCTGCCCCCCCCCCCCCCCCACCACCACCACCCTTCGAGCCCGTCACGAAGTTTGATCCTTGCCTCACCAGGGCAGCGTGGACTTGTGACGTTGCGTTGGTGGGGCTGTCTTAAGGTTGCTGATAATGGTTGGTCGTTGGTGCTTGGCGGTCATTAAGGTCGTCTGTAGTCTGGGTCGCTGGTGGCCGCTAAACGTGCGCGTGTGAAAGCGCCGCGTGCTTCTGCACTGCAAAACGTGGCAACTTGTGCCTGGGGTGTTCCCTCGCATTCGGGGCTACCTCAGGACTTGCGTCCTAACGCCGTTGGGGTGGTTGTCTGAGCGGTGTGCGCGTTGGTTGGGGCGTGCGGTGCGGAGTCTGGCTGCGAGGAGTGGCGCACGTAGTGCGGATGGCGTCGTTGGATCGCAGCCGTGGCGCTCTCGGTCTGGCGGACACTGGGTCGCGTTGTAGGGCTTGGTGGATGGTGGCTGGACGCGTTGCTGGCAGGATGGTTGTATGGGCCTGTAGTTGTTGGCCTGGTAGCTGGAATTGTTGGGCGTAGTGAATGTGGTGCGGTGCGTAGTGAGTTCGGCTGCTTGTGCGTGCCATTTTGCGCGGCCTGTGTCTGCGCCTGTTAGCGCCCTCGGGGTCCCCATTCCCTGAGGCAGTCGTGGCCAAGCTCTGCAGTCTCTGCGTAGTAGTCCACTGGTGCGTAGAAGTTGTGATACTCCCCGTCGCCCATGGCCAACGTTGCACTGTCGTCTGCCAGCTGCCCCCATCTCGCCGCGAAAGCCGCCGCCATGGCTCTGCACAGTTTCGATGGGTATTATTTGAGTGGTGCCGTCTTCCATCCACCTCTGTCATCACGTCTGTAAGCTCGGCCATGTCCGTTGTGCGTACAGGTCTGCCCTCCGGGTACTTCCAGTAGTTCGTGTCGTAATTCGCGCGGATGTGCTGCGAGTAGGCACGTTGGTTTCTGCGCTGTCTGTCAGAACTGGCACTGGCCGACGCAGTGGAGTTCCACGCTTCGTTGTTCCAATAGCCATTTGGTCTCCGCTCTGTGCCAGCTGCTCGGCGCTTGCGGGCACCAGGTGGCAGGTGCTGGATGATCGACTGTGGCTGACACTTTGAACTTCAGAACCGTCGTGATGAGTAAGATGGCCGTTCTGTAGAGGTCGCTGCCCAGTGCAAGCTGTTGTAGTTATGCCTGGTTGGCTGCCTGTACGCCCCACGGGCTTACATGGGTTATGAGGGTCGCGGTGCTCTTCCCTCGAGGCCGTGCCACCTCGAGGAACACCACGTCTCAAATGGTGATCCAGCCAGGATGCCGAGCTCCTGCAGCCCTTTATAGCGTTGACCCAGAAAGCCAGCGCGTCCTGCTTGATGGGGTCGCCTTGGACGGAGTCGATCTGCACGTCGATGGAGTGCACCACCAGATAAAAGCAGGCTACGTGCATCCCGAAGTGGTGCTGGAAGTCCTCCACCCGCCTTCTTCCCGAGAAGAGGTGAAGCAGGACCATGGTCGTCGTAACCAACGGTCTGGATGTCGTGAGCGTTGCAGGTACCAGTGCATCGGGCTCGATGCTCGCGGCTTCTGGTGGGAGCGGCAATCTCCGCAACTGGTCTGGGTCGATAAGGTCAGCGGGCTTCAGGCGCAGGACTTGTTGGACTGGTACGAGTGCTTCTGTCGCCCCATGCCCGTGTGCCTTGTTCGCGGCCACTTGGAGCTGTTCCTCTTCCCGTCGGTCAGCTGCTTCTTTTGGGCCCATCGGTAGTTTTGTCGCTTGCAGCACCGCGAGGCAGCTGGGCATCTCCTGAGGTGCTTCAGGATGCGCGCCCTTGTGATGAAATCTTTGCCGCACCCAGGGCAAGTAGTGGATCTGGCGAGGCGCTCAGCTAGGTCGTAAGCAACGTGGTCATTGGTGGTGTGCCGTTTCGCTCCATCCGTCCTCCTCCTCCTCCTCCTGCTCCTCCTCCTCCTCCTCATCCACCGCCTCCTCCTCTTCCTCCCCCTCTTCCTCCTCCGCCTCCCTTCCACCTCCTCCTCATCATCAGGATCGGCAGCAGCATCAACATCAGCATCAGATGCATCATCATCAGCAGCAGCATCACCATCATCCTTCCTCCTCCTCCTCCTCCCCCTCCTCCTCCTCCTCCTCCTCCTCCTCCTCTTCCTCCCTCCTCCTCCTCCTCCGCTTGCGCATTCCTTCTCCCTGTCGCACCCAGAGGCCAAGTATAGGGCGGGCGGAGCGGTTCGCCTGAGCCTTCCTCACCACGTATAACCCTGGAGCTTGAAAAGCGACAGCAGATCCACACATGGAGGGCGGGGCGTTTTCAACATGTAGATCCCGTATTGATAGCGATGATGGTGACGATGTTGAAAACGAAGTTGGCGCGGCCAGTGACGGCGCAGATGCTGATCGCGCCGACGACGGTGACGGCGTCCTCGCGTCGACGATGAAGGTGTTGGAAAGAGTTCGACGTGCGCGCGCGGCCGACGCGCGAGAGTGGCCCGCGTGGTGTCATGTGACGCGGATCGTGTCCCCCCAGCACGCGCGCAAGGGCGTTGGAATGGTGTCGGCATGCGGCGCGAGAGGCCCGTCTGGCAGAATTCCATGATCATGTTGAGCAACCGATGGTTTTCTCAAGGGCTCGCGTGAGCGGAAGCTCAAGCTTGTTTGAAAACTGGTGTTGCGGCGCCATGTGTTTTGTATGTGGTTTGGACACTCGGCGTTGAAATCGTTACGAAACCGATGGTTGGTTGATGGACGTCGGCATCAGCATCATCATAATCTTCATCGTCATCGTCATCATCTGAATTACCATCATAGTACACATTATCAAGACACCATCATCATCAGTAGCATCGTCATCATCAGTATCATCTGCATCATCATCAGCAGCAGCATCATCAGCATCATCAGCATCATAGTAAGATTCATCCGCAGCAGAAGCATCAGCATCATCATCAGCATCATCATATTCATCATCGTAATCATCATCGTCATCCACATCATCACCACAACCACCCTCATCAGCATCATCATCAGGAGCATCATCATCAGCCTCATCATCATCACTATCGTCATCGCCATTAGCATCAGCATAATACCCATCATCACCATCATCAATGTCTTCCTCATTATCATCACCACCTGAATATGAATCATCACCATCATCATCATCACCATCATCATCACTACCACCATCACCATCACCAGCATCATCACCATCACGACCACCACGGCCACCACCAACGTCCCCACCACAACCATCACCATCATCACCGCCACCACTACCGTCACCATCATCATCAGCAGCATCATCATCAATCGTTAGCAGCAGCAACTCCACCACCACCACCACCACCATCGTCGTGATTCTCACATTCCTCGTCCTCACCGATCACCTCGTTCCCTTCCTCCCCCCTTTCCGCGTCCTCCCCGTCCCCCCCCTCCCCCTCCTTCCCGTCCTCATCCTACTCCAACTCCACCTCACCTTCCTTCTCCCCCTCCTGCCTCTCCTTCTCCGTCTCTTCCCCCTTCGTCCCCCTCGTCCGTCCTCCCCCTCGCCCTTCCTCCCCCTCGCCTGGGCACACAACGTAACGAGGCACGAGTTGCGAGAACTCTCGAGGCGCGAGTCGCGCGGCGAGGTGGGCGGGGCCACGCCGCGCGCTCCTGTGCATGAAAGTCGCTGCCCGGACAGCGCTCACACCGCGCGCCCAGCAGCTCGGAAGCGCCCGCATGCACACGGAGGAGGAGGAGGAGGAGGAGGAGGAGGAGGACCAGGAGGGGGAGGAAGAGGATAATTAGGTGTAGGATTAGGAGGAGGGGGAGGAGGATGAGGAGGAAGATTAGGAGAAAGATTGAGAGGAGGAGGAGGGCCTGAAGTACGATGTGGTTTCGGGAAGCATTTGACGCCGTTGATGGGCTTGGCTCCCTGGTGGCACCATGGTCACAAGGTGCTGGCGGCCCGGAATCCGAAATCGGCCCAAGGAAGCCGAAACGAGGAAGGCCGTCGGGCTTTACTGTGCGACATCCATGAATTCAGGAAGAAATAAATCCGATCTACTCGAAGCCCCTCCCCGGACCCCCTTCCAGGATCCCGCCTGGCCAGCCTTCCGCGTCGCGCCTGGCAGTGGCGACGAGAACTTCCAGGAACACCCGAAAACCTCCGAAGTCCTCGTCGTCGTCGTCGTCATGCTCGTGGTTGTCGTCGTCGTCGATGTCGTCGTGGTCGTGGTTGTCGTCGTCGTGGTCGTCCCCATCGTCGCCGTCGCGTCCTCGTCGTCCTTGTAGTCGTCGTGGTCGTCGTTGTCGTCGTCGTCGTCGTCGTCGACGTCGTCGTCGTGGTCGTCGTCGTCGTTGTCGTCGTTGGGGTCGTCGTTGTCGTCGTCGTCGTGGTCGTCGTCGTCGTCATCGCTACCGCCGTCGTCGTCGCCGAGGTCACCGCCGCCGTCGTCGCCGTCGCAGTCACCGTCGCTTCGCCCTCGCCCCCGCCCTCGCCCTCGCCCTCGCCGTCGCCGTCGCCGTCGTCGTCGTGGTCGTCGTGGTCGTCGCCGTCGTCGTCGTCGTCGTCTGGAGTTGGCGCGCCGATGGCCCCGCGGGAGGCTCACTCCGAGAAGAGCCGCGTGGGCGGCCACGAGGGAGGAGACGGAGGCAGCGTGGTGGTCGACGGAGGCAGCGTGGTGGTCGACGGAGGCAGCGTGGTGGTCGACAGAGGCAGCGTGGTGGTCGAGGAGAGGTCGGAGGACGACCTCGCTCGGGGGCGGGGGCGGGGGAACGAGGCGGGGAAGACGGGAGTCCTTCGCACCCAGCAAGTTTGGGCTGGAAGAGTACCAGCTGTGATGCCCGGCTCCCCCCGGGAAGCACGCGGCACTCACAGCGTCTCGACGCTCGTCGTAGCTGCGGCCTTCGCAGGGCCGTGCGGACCCCGAGTTTCCCACGGGGCTTGCCTGTGAAAATCTCCAGCCAAATGGGCAAAGGCTTCACGTGGGAATCAAGTCCTGCGGTGTCTGCGGCCCTCGGACAAGCGCGTGCTGCGAAGGGAGAGGCGCTCGTTGGTGCTCGCCCTTCTCAAGCGGCTGCTCACCTTCCATCGGCTCGGCGTCGCGAGCAGGTCTGAGCTTTCACTTCCCGGCGGGGCTGTGGAGTAGCGACTTGCAGACCCGCGGACGGCCGATCCCCCTGCCTCGCCGCGCTCCTGGCTGTCAGCTTACGCGCTCACGGGCCTGCTCTGTACCGTCTGCACTGGGCGCCGGCTCCCGCCACTGCCACCTCCCCCCCCCTCGCTTCCCCCCCCGCCTCTCCCGCGCCCTTGCCGTGGCCCTCGCCACCCGCGCCACTCTCGGCGAGGGGGCCCCTTGCCCGCAGGCCCTCGCGAGGCGGGGCGTGCCCCTGGACGCCCACCACGGAACGGCAGTCCAGGCGATGGGCGCCCCCCTCCTCTGCCTCCTGCTCCTCCTCCTCCTCCTCCTCCTCCTCCTCCTCCTCCTCCTCCTCCTCCTCCTCCTCCTCCTCCTCCTCCTCCTCCTCCTCCTCCTCCTCTTTCTCCTACTTCTCCTCAACCAGCACTCCTCCTCCTCCTCCGCCTCCTCATCCTCCTCATCCTACTCCTCGTCCTCCTCCTCTTCCTCCTTCTCCTCCTCCGACTCCTCCTGCTCCTCCTCTTTCTCCTACTTCTCCTCAACCAGCACTCCTTCTCCTCCGCCTCCTCCCCCTCCTCCTACTCCTCCTCAACCGGCTCTCCTCCTCCACCTCCTCCTCCTCCTCATTCTCCTCATTGTTTCCTTATACATACACCTCCCTGTCTCACCCTGGTCGAAAGGACGGGCCAGGCGATTCGCCTGAGACTTCCTCCCTACTCGTGATTTAGCAGCTCAAGGTGGCAACAGCCTCACGGATTGAGGGCGGGTCGTTTTCAAAATGTGGCTCTCGCCTTAGCGCCGCGCACACTCGTCTTACAAGTTTGCGAGAGTTCCACGGATTCAGGGCGGGTGGTTTTCAAAATGTGGCCCTCGCCTTAGCGCCGCGCACACTCGTCTTACAAGTTTGCAAAGGGTTTCATTGATTCAGGGCGTTTTCAAAATGCGGCTCAAAATGCGGTTCTCGCCTTAGCGCCGCGCAGATTCGTCTTACAAGTCTGCACGAGCTTCACGGATTGAGGGCGTGTGGTTTTCAAAATGTGGCTACATCTTAGCGCCGCGCCACTCGTTTGGAAAACTGTTCACAAAGTTTCACTGATTGAGGGCGGGTGGTGTTCAAAATGTGGCTCTCGCCTTAGCGCCGCGCACATTTGTTGTGTTTTAATTGCAAAGAGGTTCACGGATTCAAGGCGGGTGGTTTTCTAAATGTGGCTCTCGCCTTAGCGCCGCGCACATTCGTTTTACAAAAATTGAAAAGAGATTCACGGATTCAGGGCGGATGGTTCTCAAATTCTCGATTTTGCGTCGAGCACAATCGATGCAAAAAAGTTTCTCTGATTCTCATGGTTCGCACCAGAAAAGGTGTTATGGAAAGACTCCAGATTGTCAGGGCGCATGAGTTTCGTTGACTCGCGGTGTTGAAATCCCAGGATTGAAAATTCTGGTACGATTCAGGATCGCCAAGAAGTAACATTCATCTTAACTCGAGGCGTTGAAGTTCTGAGAATGGTGTTGTGGCACGCTTCAGAATTTTCGCACGGTTGTCCCCCAACGGGGCGATTCCCTCAGCGGTAATGACCCCTTGTAGGAGCCTATGAAGAGGGAGCTTGGAGGGAGGGTGTATTCCAACATCGTTGATGGGCCTTGGGTTTACTCTGGTCCTCCTTCTCCTCCATTTCCTCCTCCTCCTCCTCCTTCTCCTCCTTTTGCACGCCAGTGCTGTCCTGGGCGCGCTTTTGCTGCGAAGGTAGCTGCCCCGTCGACGCCTCGGCCAAGCTCGCCGTGGCCCTGCACCCCATTCTGGATCCAGAGGATGCGGAGAAGATCGATCAGGACATCTCGGTTGCTAAGGCTGTCGGCGTTTTAGCTGCCAACGTGTTGCCGTCCTGGCCTCGCCTTGATATGGGTCCGGGTGTGGAGCGCACGCCAGATCCGCCCAAATCTGTTTCTACTCCTCAGCGCACGCCTCCTAAGTGGTGCTGCGTAGGCTCCTTGTGGCAGTGCTGCGATTGCTTGCGAGGGCGTCATGGCAGGCCAACTTCACCCCCTGTGGGTGGAGCCTGCTCTCAGTCCTTACGAGTGCAGCCTGAGGCTTTGCGAACCCTCGGCCACGGCTGTATTGTAGTCGACTGTTCCGACGGGTCGTTCTTGTGCATATGCCAAAGATGCAGCCATATGACCTCTGGCGCTCGGCTTGCCAACCTTGGCAAGAAGTGTGAGCCACAGAAGGCCGCTACGCACATGAACCCGTGGTCCAAACTCCAACGCGGGCTCCACCCGTCGACCAAGAAGCCTGCGGTTGCTGTTGATGTTGACACGGTTTGCCCGACTTATGCGCTTCAGGCGCATGCTGTTGCGCCCCCCCTTGTGCCAGGGTGCCAGGTGGAACCTGGCGGCCAGCGCTCTGGGAGGCGCCTTCGTTCTCTTCTGGGGGTGGCGGGTGGCCGTCGGTTGCACAGCGCACCCAGCCTTGCTGGACCCAGCGAGGTAGAGCCAGAGTGCCAGGTCGAGCCTGGGGACCAGGCCCAGTTGGAGATCCGCAGGCTAGATGATGAGGATGAGGATGCTGCTCTCTTTCTCGCGGCCTCTGTCGGTTCGGCGGCGCCTACTGCAAGCCACGGTTCAGACTAGCAGCTGCCCCTGTGCTCTCAGCTTGTGGTTTCCGTTTCTTTTCCCTGGGGTGGAATCGCCCGCCTCCCAGGGTGTATGTGGGCAGCTTGGTAGCCGTTGACGGCAAAAAAAATCCTCCGCGTCTCCTTCGTTCCTCCTTCTGCACGAGTACGCGTTCCTTGCACATGCGTGATCACTGAGAGTTCGTTGTCATTGTGGCTGCGCACAGCAGCAGGCGGAGGAGGCCGAGGGGGAGGGGGGGGGGGCGGGAAGGGGGGGGACGAGGAAATTGAAGGAGGGCGGACCAGAGTCAACGACCTCCCCCACCAGCCAGGGGGAAGGATGATCAGAGTCGAGGAGAAAATGGGGGACAGGTCGAGGGAGAGAATGAGGGAGGGAATGAGAGAGGGAGGACATGCTCCTGGTACCCAAACCACATTCGAGACCAAAGGCGTGCAAATATAGACCTGCAGCGGCAGAGCACTCGGCACGGCATGCCCCTCCGAGGCGGCAGGCATCGCGGAGGGAGGAGGGGGCCCGAGGGAGCGGGAAGGACGACGAGGAGAGAGGGAGAGACGGAGAGAGGGGGAGAGGGAGGGGAGACGGGGGAGGAGGAGGAGGAGGAGGAGGAGGAGGAGGAGGAGGAGGAGGAGGAGGAGGAGAAGGAGGAGGAGGAGGAGGACGAGGAGGAAGAGGAGGAGGAGGAGGAGAGCCTGGTGTTCTCGAGTGCTTCCTTTAATGGTCAAGCATGCGTTGCACAAGAAAGTGGATGTGCTTGGATGAGTTCGTCGCGCTTGGTGATCGGAGACAGTCGGAAGTGTTCTCCAATGATATCGCAAGAACGGTTCAGGGGCTAGGTTTCGGCAGCTGCACATCTTATTCCTGATCCGCGAAATGAGGCCAGTCAACACATGGCTTGAGTCGCTTCAAAAAAAAACACCTTCGTAACCGTGCTTTCGGTCCACCAATGTTCAGACAACTGAAGTGCAATGCAGCTCATGAAACCGCATGAAAGTTTCCGAGAGCGCGCGCAAACTGCCTTGGCCCTGAGAGCAACGTATTCACCCCACCGAACCGTCCGCTGAGAACATATGGTGACCCCCTGCCCCGTTCCCCCTCGCCTGGAGTCCAGCATCTCATTGCAGCACTGCGAGGGGGGGGGGGCGGTGGCGGTGGACGAACTCGTCAACGCAACGCTGGGGTCCACGCAGCCTCCCGCGAGGCCCCATCAAGGCCCCTAAGAGGGTCCCAAGAGGGGCCCAAAGAAAGCCTCAGAGGCCGCCAAGGTAGCTCCAAAATGACCTCCAGAAGGCTCCAGAAAAGGTTCCCGCGATGGCGCCAAGCTGCCTCAAAGAGGCCCACAGAGCGTGACACCCTGATCTGGGCAACTCGCCTGGCTTGGGGATGGGCTGGAGGGGACACGAGAAGCGTCAAGCTTTCGTCGTACTCGCACCTAGACTTGCTGACGCTCAGGTACTCACAGAGGGAAGTCAGAGAATGAGATGCCCATGTGAAGATCCCCACATCGAACAACGTTTGAAATGTATTACTCATCGCTGTAAGATGGTTTCGAGAGGGCACCGCAGGAGTCAACTCGGCCCCAACCAAATAGACTGTGCCAGGAGGGCAAAAGAACACATCCAAAGGGGACAAAGACAGGCCAAGGGACCCCCAAGACGGTCGAAGAGGTCCACAAAGTGACCCAAGACGGCCCCTAGAGACCCCGGCCGAGACAACCAGGAGGGAAACAGGAGGTCCCAAGAAGGCCTCAAGACGGCCCAAGAGGGCCTCAGGGAGGGTCTTCAGAGGACGGCAGGACAAACCAAAAGGGCATCAAAACAGCACCAAGATGGTCCAAGATGGCCACATGCGAACCCCAACAAGGAGGATGGCAGGAGGAGGAGGAGGAAGAGGAGAAGAGGAAGGAGGGGGAGGATAAAAAGGAGAAAGAGGGAGAAGCAGGCATGGAAATCATCCTGGCGACGGACCCAACTAATGCGAGCGTGAGTACCGCAAGGCAAGTGGGACGAAGGAAGGGGAACTGCCTAAAGAGCCACGCAACGTGTTCCCTATGGGGCCACGAAACGTATGCGAGGTGTGCCGATGTGGGGACAGGCACACCATTTCGAACCCATGCCGCTGGGGCCCTCGGTGGAGCTCTCCACGGGGCCACGAAACGTGTGAGGGACAAATTGGAGGCGGGCACGCCATGCGAACCCTGCCTCTGGGACCTTCGGTGGAGCTCCCTCTTGTGCCCAGAAACGCGTGATGGGTGTGCCAGGTTGGGGGCGGGGGCGCCAAGCGAATCCTGCAGCTGGGGCCTCCGGTGGAGCTCCGTATGGGGCCACGAAACGCGTGATGTGTATGCCGAAATTGAAGCGGGCACGCCATGCGAACCCTGTCGTTGGGCCCTTCGGTGGAGCTCCCTATGGGACCACGAAACGTGTGAGGGGTGTGCGGGGGCGGTTGCGCCATGCGAACCCTGCCGCTGGGGCCTTCCCTGGAGCTCCACACGGGGCCAAGAAACGCGTGAGGGGTGTGCCGAAATGGAGGCGGTTGCGCCATGCGAACCCTGCCGCTGGGGCCCCTCGGCGGAGCTCCCCATGGAGGCCACGAAACGTGCGAAGGGTGTGCCGAAATGGAGGCGGGCACGCCATGCGAACCCTGCCGCCGGGGCCTTCGGTGGAGCTCCCCACTGGGGCCACGAAACGTGTGAGGCGTGTGCCGAAATGGAGGCGGGCACGCCATGCGAACCCTGCCGCAGGGGCCTTCGGTGGAGCTCCCCACTGGGGCCACGAAACGTGTAAGGGGTATGCCGAAATTGAAGCGAGTACGCCATGTAAACCCTGCCGCTGGGACCTTCGGTGGAGCCCCCTATGGGGGCACGAGCCATGCGAACCCTACTGCTGGGGCCTTCGGAGGAGCTCCCTGTGGGGCCACGAAACGTGTGAGGCGTGCTGACACGGACATGCAGAGGGCAGAGGCAAGGAAGGGAGGAGCGGAGGAAGGGGAGG